TTTTGGCTCCAGATTCCACTCACAGGTAGGTCCTCACTCTGCTGCTTCCCTGCTAGTCTAAGCCTCCACTCTCCTTGCACATCACACACAACTGAATCCTATGTGATACTCCTACTACCATCCATCATTTACATAATGCATTCCCATCTCAACACTCAGATCAAGAACCAACAGGCACCAAGTACATATTTTAGTTGTCTTCTACATTAAAAAACAAGTAAAATAGTATCGCTTGTTTTCTTAAAATTTCCCACCATTTTCCTCTTTCTCTTAGAGGAGAAGATTATCTCCCAACAGTGTGCTCAGGGTATTGTGCGTGAGTCACCTTCTCACCTTACCTATTCTGATTCATGTCTCACGCTTTGCCTTGTTTTTTTTTTATTTCGTTCACGTTGACCCTTTCGGCAAACACAACAGGCTCAGTCATTTCTGGTCATTCCCTTTTGTAAAATTGATTCCATTCTCAAACCCCTAAAGAGGTATTTGCCCTGGCTAAACAGTCTATTTATAAAGAAGGTCCCTGGTCATACCTTCTATATTCTATGGCGTCGTGTCCTCCCCTTTGCCATACTCATTGTCTTCAGATCACTAACTCATTCATGATAGTTCATCATCTATATTTTTACCGGAAAGTAAACTCCACATACTGGTTAATGATGTTGGTGTGTTTTTGATATCAAATATGCTTTCAGCATCTCTCATTTTTCTTCTGCCACAGGAATGCCAGTGTGTACTATAACACATTTTTTTTTCTTTTTTTCTTTCTAAACACAAGCATAAAAAAGTTATGGACCAAAGCCCAAGTTGGCCCAAGTGCAACATCAAATATGGATGAGAAATAAGCCTATATGGCATTCAAAAAAAGTTAACCAATAGCCTACATGAGCCTTATAAATAATAATTCCATTTTAAAGTGCTTTAATGTGCTACCAGTATGAGAAAATTCTTTTCAAACCAATTTTCAGGACTGTATGAATTATATGTAATAAATGGCATTTCTCAGGAAACCAAAATACAGAGAAATCATGCTGTCTAAAACAACACAATCAGAAAATGGCAGTGCCTAAATGTAAAATGAAGGATACCTGATCCTTACACATAGACTGTTTTTTTTTCAATGAAATGTTGGTTAATAAGAGGAAATTGCCTAAAGATAGAGCAGGTATAAAAACTAATCATATCAATAGTGAAACTAAAGCACAGACGTCAACAAAAAAGAGTGCTTGCCAGCTCCTGCCAGGTTCTCTGAAGCAATACGCAGTCTCTTCAAGAGAGTTTCGACTGATCTCACAAGTCCAGGCAGCCACTCTCAGCATGGGTGGTCGCGAGCTTCAGTTGTTTGTTTTATAATACGTTAGAACATTGCCAGCTAACATTTTTAAACTTTTTCTTTCCCTTTTAGTCAAACTAGTTCCAAATGTTTGAATGTTAAATTGTGGGAAGAGCGTAGAGTAGCCAGAAATATTTTTTTCTTTTATGAAACATAAACATTTTTTTTCAGAAAAAAAAGGAAGATTAATCTTTTCACTTTACCAGGGAAGGCAAAGCATTACCCATCCCAGGCATCGTGGTTTAAAAACCACATTTGTGCTTAACATATTCAAGATGTCTTTTGATATTAGATAGGTATAGCTATAAAATAGGCATAAGTTATAAAGGAAAGTAACCAGAGTTTATATCAACTAGAAATGCTGTTAGCCAAACAGACAGGAAATCAACTTTAGATTGTTGTTTAGATAATGTAATTTGCCACAGTTTTTATTCTTCCCTATATCTATGCCCCTCTCTATATAGTCATGTGTGCTTTTCACTTTCTGATTGCTTCACTGGTTTCAAGGACTTCCTTGAGACAACAAGACAACAGAATCTGCCAGGACAGATTATATCCTAAATTTCTGAGAGCTGGGCCCATTATATTTTTTTTCTCTATTGTGTTTCTGCATCCACAAAAATAATGTGCCCAGGCTATCCTGCTCATCCTAGGAGGAGGTGAACCAACATGAGGGAACAAGATCCACACCCAGACAAACCCAACCTAGATTACCTCACCCTTGGCTAACCTATTCACTCAGGAGATAAAAAAAAAAATACTGATTGTTGTCTTGTTTTGTTTTATGGAGACAACATAGCTCATGTAGTAGATAATGCGCATATTATTTTGAGGTAGCTTCTCCATAAAATGGAAATTATTCCCAGAATCAGAGTAACAAGAGATGTGAGCCTCAAAAGATATTATCGCCAGGGCATGAAGTGCAACAATAGACTGGTAGATTATCATTTCCTACAGGAGGATTCCACTAACATATCTCAGTCCCAGCTCTCTCACAAATTCTCAGAAACTTCTTTGAGGCATGGTCTCTCAGCTTGTTTCAGGCATGTGAACCTATAAATAAAGGCAGGCTAGAACAACTGCCTGTCATTTATGTGTGCTCTGGGTATCTGCAGTTTGGCCCCCTTGATTACACAACTGCTTTAACCACTGAGGTAACCCATCTTATTTTTGAAACAGGATTTCTCACTGAACCTGAGCCTACCAATTAGGTTAGAATAGCTGGCCTGTAAACTCATAGGGATTCCATTGTCTCTATCTCACCAGTAATGGGATTACAAATTTACATCGTCATGCTGAGATTTTCATGTAGATGCTGGAAATCCGACTAAATTCTCATGCTTACGAGGTAATCACTTTATGACTAAGTCTTCTTCCAAGACCTAAATGTATAAATTATCTTCATAACTAATAATATGAAAGAAATAACCATAAGAATAATGACTACATCAATCCCATGGTAAAGAGTATGTATGTAATAGTGTCATCCACATTAGATCAGAGAGATGCTATTAGAGCTACCTCTATATAGGAAACTGTAAATACTTTCTGTGTGATTGCATTTTCCAAGCCCTGACCTAATGATTTAACATAACTGTCCATTAATCATTAGAATTATTTATAAAGAAAAAAATATTATTTTTCTAATCCAAAAGGAAAAAAATTATAAACACTGTCCAATTTGTTCATTTAATAATTCCTAAGTAGCAAAGCCACAACAAAATACACATTTCCTAAAAGAGAAAGTAAGTTAGACTTATATTTAAATAATGACAACAAATTTGAGCAGTCCATGAGCAGAAATGGGATATGTATGAATCACTTTAGCCAATTAGTGAATATGTAGAGTTCACAATCCACTACTCTGAGTAAAACGGTTACAAGGTAACTACATTCTACAGTCTAAACTAGGGGAGGAATTAGCATTTCAAAGATGATGTGTGTCTGGAGAGAAATTGCTCCAACAGATCCACACCATACTGCCCAAGTTGCTGATTGACATTCTCTGAAATAAATAAGTATAGTGGTCCTGGGAGGCTTCTGCACACAACTGTAACCACCAACACATCCTCTTTATTCCTTTTTTACAGTTCTGCACCTCCACTCATTCTAACGACAGTCCAGGCTTACACACATACGAAGCTTTTAGCACACACAGTTTCAAGAATATTTGTAGATCACTTACTCAACAACGTATTGCATACTCTATTTTATGCACTATAACTAATATTTGTATAACTCATTTTTAAAGTCTGTATTGACTTTACATTTCCTTACTTGAATTGTCAAGATGTTTTGCATAAATGACAGTTTCTACTGTACATTTTAAAACACATAATTCTTTTGTGTACTGGAAAAGTTGCTCTACTCTCATATCCCAGAACACTAACTTTGTCGGTAACAGTCCCAGACAACTGAACTGTTGAATGTTTCATCTCATTGTTTTCAGACACCCTGTGCCACAAATGTTTTCCATGACCTTTAAGCAAGAATTCAAAGTCTATTTAAGCACACATTTTACATGTGCGATTATCAAAGCATCTATAATGTGACAACTCCAGGAAGTAACATTTTTCTCTACAGCCACAATTTCTGTATGCTTTTTATATCAGGATTGGTATTTAGCAAAAAGAAACAACATTTGAGAAGCCACAGAAGTACCTTGAACATTAATGTAGGGTTAGAACTTTGCAAGCAAACTACTTCAAAACACACCTCTCATTTGATACATCCTCAACGTTTCACTGGTAAACAAAACATTTTTAAAGTACATTGTATTTTCACTTCATGAGAACTCTATTTGATTGATCATCTGAATGCCACTGTGTTATATTGTCTAGGTAGAAGAAGCAAGAGATACTCTACTTGTGGTGTGTTCTTTGCCCAATGGCCTTTGAACTCTAAATACATTCTATGAATTGGACTTCTAACTGAGGCCAACAAAGTGTTTTAAAGAAAAATGTATCTATTTTAGCAGCTTATGGCCTTGCTCAGTGCTCCTGTCTGAAGGTTCCACCAGCCTAGCTCTTTTCTTTGTATGTGATGTCACATTCTAGTATGCTCTAGGCTTATTCTTTTTTAGAGTGCTTTAGGGTACACAGAGATATCCAGACTCAAAGATGAATGTGCAGCCAAATACCTAAAAATCTCCTGCAAACGGTCCTTCCCTATTTGTTTAAGAAAAGTTATTTTCTTCAACTCAAATATGTCCAGTAGGCTTGAGATATATTACACATATTGAGATATATAATTACATATAATGGTAAAATTCTTGTGCAAGCATAAGGACCTGAATTAACCCCACCCCACCCCCCCAAAAAAAAACTCCACAAGATAAGCTATGGATGATGGGACAAAATTATAATTCTAGCACTGGGCAAATGGGAGAGAGTTGGTTACCAGGTTAGTCGCTGATAGAATATCAATCTCTGTCTGTCCGTCAGTCTGTCTGTCTCTCCATCTGTGCGTCCGTCCGTCCCTCCCTCCCTCCCTCCCCATCTCTCTCTGTCTCTATCTCTGTCTCTCTGAATATATGTGTGTTTATGTGTATATATGTACACGATAGTAGATTGCTTTTGAAAAATGACACTTGATGTTGACCTTTTGCTTTTGGGGTTGGCATTCTTACCCACACACAAATGCATATACATATATGCATATACCCACATACCTCTGAAGAGATGGACCATGGGGATCTTTACTGTAGAAGATGCATAGCCATTACCTAGAAAACAAACAAATATACACCTCATGTGAGAAAATTACTAAAAATATTTATCTTTTCTCACTTAAGTCTTAACAGTGACCAAACTTGGGAAAACAAAATGCAACAATTATAATATAAAAACATCCTGGTTCCATATGATCTGCTGCCCCCAAATAGGAGAAATTAAATGTAGCTATGCCTCTCTTCATTCCTCATGAAGGAGCTCTGGTAATTTACTTTCTGAGGTTTAGGGAGACATGAGAAATGAACTTGACCTGGAAATGTTTTTCTCCATCCTGTGTTTTCCCACAACACTAACTTTACTTAAAATATGATCTTCACATGGAAGCCCCTACCCTTTTGGAGGAGGGGATGGTGGATGGGTCAGGCTGGGGAGAAGGCTGGGGGGAGCAGGAGGAGAGATAAGAGGGGAATCTGTGGTTGGAATGTAAAATGAATAAAAAAATCTTAAATAAAAAAAAGATCTTCATTGTATAGTCACCAATCCTTACAAATTTTGAATTTTACAGACACCAGACTTAGATTTTTTTGGACCAGGAAAGATGAAGTTATTTTTTTTTCCATTACATAAGTACTGTTATTTAAAACAAGACACATTTATTGTGTTGAATAAAATCTATCTTCATTCATAATGAAGGTATAAAAAATGGCCATTGAAATCATGCTCAAAGTATCCCTGGGACGTTATTCATTGTAGAAGATGTGAGATACTTGATATGTTGTGATGTAATGTGACAAAAAGTGGCTCACTGAGCTGGTCCTTCAGTTCTTCTTTTTTCTATGTGACTTCATTTCCACTTGTAAGAGGATGGCATCCACCCTGAAGTAGTCATGACATTATCAATCCTTAGCTACCAGAATCTTTATAAATGAGGCAGTGAATTATGGCAGTGCAGTCTGCACAACTAGATAATGCTACATCTTCATCATTTATTTCAAATGACTTCAAAATTCACTTTTAAAGTACTACCTATTACCCCTGCCTCAAGACCCCTTAGGTTTCATAAGCACACTTTGATTTTGTGTGTTTGGATATCTTGCTTTGATAATCAGCATGTACTTTTCAGGACATTACTTGTTACTTGCTTCAATGCATTTGTTCTTATGATTCTGAAAACATACAGTACTATTCTGTAGTATCATCACATTTTCTAGAATTTTGTATTATTTCACTTTGTTTTTCTTTGATAATTTTAGTAATTGTTCAATGAAATTTATAGCTTAAATAAAATGAACTAGCCCACTGAGTACTAGACAAGTAGCTTCCTGTGAATTCTCACAGCCAATGATTTTCTATGTACCAGCAGATCATAAATCTCAAATGCCATAAAGTATCTCTTCTTAAGGTATATATCCATTCTACAAATTCCAAGAAGATACTCTACAGCCAACATTCTGAAGGCTCATTTTATAATCTCTCACTTATTTTTCATCCTAAATGAGAGTATAATTGTTAGAGAAAACAATCATTAAATTTAAAGCTTGTCTCCAAATTAGGTATATTGTGGAGAGTGAACTCTATACAACATGGTTTCTAAAATTCCTTAGAGTCCCTATACCAACCTCTGCAGCCCAGTCACAGGACTTCAACTGCAGTAAAGGAAATATATACAGAGTGAAGTGGGACATAGGAGAGACTTTTTAGAAAAAGAAAGCAAAATATTGAAGTATTTTATGACTCCCTAAACTTGTATGAATGAACAGATTTATCAATAGTTTCAATATAATTCAATTTTTCATAGAATGTATTTTTAACTACAAAATTTCTGCAATAAGAATATATCTTAATTTGCAAAAACTTATTGTAATGAAATAGTTAAGAGACATAATTGTCTTAAGACTATGAACAGCATGTGTACAAGTTCTACATTGATGTCAAATCCATCATGAAGTGTAATAGATAGACTATTAATTCATGTCTATGAGCCTGGAGAAGTAAATACTGTACTCATACAGAATGATATATAGTAATAACATTAACTAGGAGTCATATAATTTGAAGACATACATTCAACATATTCATTTGATAAACCCTATCCTGGAAATGGGGTGAGGGAAGAGTCTCTAATTGTAGTCAACACCAATGGAAACTTACCAACTGGAGACTTGAAAGTGACAGTTGAAAGGATTTAGAAACATTATGTAAATAAACCTATCTATATGTCTAAACAGGATTTTCTAGACTGGGGCAAAACCACACATCAATTTGGGTGGCACTCTTCTATGAACTGGAGTTTTGACCTAATTAATGAGGAAACAAATTGAGCACAAAAGAATCATTTCCTCATCATGTTGAATTATTTGTCCTGCAAGTATATGCTGAGATAAATCCTTCCTTCTGAAGTTGCTTCTTCTCAGGTATTTTTCGTCACAGCAACAGATAAGAATTCGATACACTATGTATAAAATACTTTACTTCTTAAAGTTCTTTGATCTCTGGCCTAAGGATTATAATTGACAGAGATAATATTAAGTATTACCCAATCCCAAAGTCAGTGGTGGTTTTGCTCTAAGGGATTTTGTAGACAGGTTATCAAAATCACACAAAGGCTTTTGAGCAATTACTGGATGGAATACCCCCAAAGAATGCTTCCTTAGGAAACATAGGCTTTTCCCCTTGTGATCGATGTCTTTCTCTGAAGGCATCTAACATCTAATAGAGCATAAAACAGTAAACAAAAATAGTTTGATGACTACACTCAATGAGACAGAATATAACAATTCACTAAAATATGTTATCAAGAAAATATGATCAAAGTTTTTCTTTTTTTATAAAGTTGTTCTTGGAAAAAATGCATTTCCCAATATGAGACATCTTTAAATGTCATTTGAGGGGACATTTTCACTCTCAGGGTAGATTGCAGCCATGAAATTGCACACAGGCTGCAATTATTCCTCTGTCCTTATTTACTTCATTTCCACTTAACTGGTTATAATGTGGTAATTAATTTCCAGTTTTCCAATGAGGCTTATTTAAGGATTTGCTTTTTAATCATTATTTACATAGATAACTCAATGGTAGTTAAGATGAAATGTGGTTTAAAAAACTAAGCTGCAGTAGACTACATTTATGAATACTTTAATGTGCACATTAAAAATCATTTCCTTCTAAGTGAGGAGTCTAGAAGATACCACAAGGTGATTTAAACATATTACCAAACAAAAACACAATATACCTCAAGAGTATAATATGTCTTTATTGATTCCAGTTTTTGTTTGTCATATTCTTTTCTTTTTGTAGTAGATGGGAAAGGGCACTTCTGGGCATTTGAAACTCAGGCATTGTATATATAATTATTTGAGAAGCTTTACCACACTGGTTACTTTTTCACTTTTGAGAGGAAAAAAGCCTGTTATAAGTTCTTTTGAGACTTCAATTTGCTAGCCATGGAAATAAAGCTTACATGAAGGATGAAAGAAAGAAAAATAACAACCTCAGATCTCACATCTGGCCCTGCAGAGATATTCTGCTCTCTTTGGCCACCAGGAATGAAACAAAATTCCACCGCCTGAACTATGAACTCTTCCAGGAAGAGTTCCAGTCATTGGGTGTACAATCAGATTGCATCCTGGCTAACAGAGCCCCTTACAGCAGAAGCCAGGTAGAAGGGTTCTGGACCACTTTGAGAAGGAGTTACTCATATTCACATATATAATCTGTCTTTATATAAATCACCACCTCATATTTCATACCTAATGAAAGGAGCTAAGCAACAGTAAGGTAAATATTTGCCATTCTGAGACATATGTACATCTACTGTCTTAGCTCACATTCAGAATATTACTATGGCTTAAATATAGGAAAACATAAATTTTAAATAAATGAATTTAAAAAGGGAAACAAGAATCATATCTCAGTTCCAGCAGATGGTATTAAAAACAAAGGAAATAAACTTTGAAATAGGCAATAAAGTCACTTAAAATAATTTAAGAGTACAATTTTTCTGACTCTTCAGTTTATATGTGGATATGAATATTAGACTTACTCCCCTTGAAATGAGGTTGATTTTACCCAAGTCTTGAACTTAATATTTGGGATAGAAATATATTTGTGAATCTCATCTAATATTGATTTGATTTATATGACACTTAAAATTATGCCTTTACTGGACACACACATTATTCCATCAACAACTAGGATACTCTGCCATTCTAGAACCAAACAAATAAATAAAACTGTAAATCATTTGAATAGAAAGAGAATGAAAAAAAAACAGTATCATGGATTATTAATGCAGTAAAGTGCACTAAGTATCATGAAAATGCAAAGCAGTGACAAGAAATTTCACATAGAAATTTGGATCAGGCATAGCAATCACAATAGCTTCAACCTTGAATGGAGATAAATCAATCAAGATGGTGGGAAAGATACTGAATGTAAGATGAGAGGACATTTTAACTAAGGAGTTCCATGGTTTTAAAGTTACAGCATGAGAAACCAGAGCAAAATTTCTCAGGGAAGACACTAAGAACTACAGGAATGAAAGTTAAATACATGTTTCACGTTGCCTGAGCTGAATTATGTCCACAAAGCTGATAAGACATGAATGGGGGTATTTGTGGCAAATCTCTATATGGGATTCATATTTAAATGAGCAGACTGAACACACACACACACAAAACAAATCACTTCATCTAGATGATTGGTTTGAATATGATCTATTGAGGGGGTCCAGTTTGAGGATGTTCATAGAACAAAAGGATAGAGGGAAAACTAATGTTTTCCTCTATGTTTGACCTGGGACATGTTTTCTCCTTGTCCTGTTCTTAGACATCTGACAGTGTGGAACTCTTGCCTTTGCCCTCTTGTCTATGACCATGACTCAGAGCATAGGTCATCCTGGTTTACAAAGTCTTTGCATTGTGCTGCACTGAAGTACTGGCTGATCTCTGGATTACAGATGGCTGATCATGGGGCTTCTCAGGTGCCATAATTATGTAAATGGGTTTGCATAATTTATCTAGTGATTTTGTTTGATTACGGAATCCTGAATAATAGACTTAGGTAGGATAGAAACAGGAGACTGTAGTATGCTTGACATTGAAGAAAGGGGAACCAAAATATTGTAAAGGAGGAGGCAGGGATCATCTCAGTGAAAAAAATCATGGGACAACCAAATACAGTGATTAGAAAAAGAACACATTGCAATTATTTCTCATATTGCTTGTGCCAATTACTTACATCAAAAAGTACACAGCAGAATGAAAAGCATTAGTAAGTTGGCATGGTTTTAGGTTGATTTTCATTCTTAAGGTAAACTTTATTCTCTGTATAGAACATATATATAGATATATAGAACATATATAGATATAGAACATATATATAGATATATAGATAGATGATAGCTAGATATATATATATATATATATATATATATATATATATATATATATATATATATGGATAGATAGAGTATACATGTACATATATATACATATACAGCACGCACACACACACATATATACACTCTGTCTACTATACATTAGCTGTTATCTATTCATTTATCTATAGCTCATCTCTTATCTTTATCTCTCTATCATTTATCTGTCCTATACAAGTATGTGAAGGTTTTAAAGAAAACTTTCATGCAACTATAGAGGCTAATAAGATTCACAAAACAGAGTTGTACAAATACAAAAAAAACTCAGAACTAAAAATAATCCAATGACAATAGTATAATACTTTTTAATGAAATTTATTTATTGGTTCTTTGTGAATTTCACATCATGCACCCCAGCTCCACACATTTGCCAGATCTGCCTTTCTCCACAGGACATGAATCATCCTGCCTCTCACTCTCCAATAGCCCACCATATATTTCGTCGTCATAATGGAGGGCCATGGTTTCTTCTCCCTGCATAGGGCAAACAGCCCTGGGTGGACACATATGTGTCCATCTCTGCCTCCCCTGTCTTCAACAATAATATAATACTTAAGGAGAGGCCAAAGGCATGAGAATCAGATTGAGAGACACCAACATGTCCTAGAAGCCTAAGAGCTACAAGCCCTGGTATTTTAATGTCACAGGGCGAAAATGTGTCCTGGCTACAAAGAACAAGCAACTGCTTCCTCTTCCCTTTAATTTTATCTGGGTGCCCAGCTGATTTGTCTCAGCCACCATTCTAGTGACCAGTTTCTCACACTCAGTACACACACTCCATTCCCACCTCCTCAGAAACATACTTACTTGCAACATAATTTCTTACCACTTCTCTGGATTTTCAAACTGCAGTTGGTGTCAAATATCACCAAAAGTGGAAAAGAGTTTTGTTATTTTCTTGACTTTTCTTTCTCAGAAAAAAAAAATAATAATGAGAAGCAGATTCATAACACTCATCTTGATTTACTGCAAACAAATGGTGATGTCTTAGACAAAATACTGGCTCTTTGATGCTTATTTTGAAAAGAAACAGGAAGGACAAGAGGTTGAAGAAACAAAACAAAAACAAAAACCTGGGGTCTGGGGAAAGAGAAAAAATGACAGGAGAGGAAGGTAGGGTATGGGGGAGAGTGTGGGACAGAAAAGAGGAGAGCAGAGGAGGGGAGGGGAGGGAAGGAGAGAAAAGAGAAGA